TTTGTGAACGTGACTTGCGAATTTCTTGTTTATAAGAAGCAATGAAGAAGCTCACAGAAATAAACATTGGTTTCTTCTACATTTTTGATCAAATGGTGGCCTCAACTCAAGGGTATTGTCGTGTTTTGGGCATTGTCATCTTTGCATGGAGGGATACTATAAATGACTTAACCTGTTCCTGTTGGAGGCATCTCACAGGTTAGAGATGTTATACCTCTTTACAGTTAGATAAGACAATATCTGACCTAAGCTGAAGTCCTTGTTAACAACAGATCTTCTCCTATGATGTTCCTCTAGTGAACTAGGCTCAACTATTGTGGTCACATCTTCACTAAAACTCAGAGACTTTTTATACTTTCTGATTGTATTATCAAGATCATCAGGGGCATTTCCGGATCTTCGGATCGACACCGTTCGAATCCTCCCGGGTAAACTGATTGCCCGACTTTTTATCCGATTGTGATAAACGGCCAACTTTGATGGACGTCGTTGGTTCTGCCGATAATGCGGAAAGGTAGGTGGGCTGCCGTAGGAGTCAACTCGTATAGCGTCATCTGATTCAGTTTCAGTTGGTTGATCATTTCCAGAAGTTGAACTGCACTTAGTCAATGCTTTGTAAAGCCTTGAAAGATGTATATGACAAAGAATTATTTTGTTATAAAAATTCAGTTTTTAATGGTTTCCAAATATTTGAAAAACCATCTTTTTCAATGAAAAAAAAATCTCTTTTCGCCCGGCCATATATTAGCATAAATAATAATTTTAGTAGAGTTATTAGAAAACGCGCTTATATGACAAGAATTGGAATGCCTACAAAAAAGTGACTTGAAAATAAATTTAAGTATATCCTCCATCAATTATTGATAAACATTTTTTCTCGAGTTTTTCTTACAAGTTGAATTAAGTTGTCCCGTTTGTACCTAAACCATAATTTGATTTGAGTGAACAAGTAAGACATTGTGATAAGATAGCAGGGAAGTGGTCTATAATCCTCAATCTTATATTCAGTGCCAAACTCTATCTCATTTTTCTCCGGGTTTGGTTCATGTCTCAACACTGGGGATTAAAGGGATTGTATAAACAAAAATATCAAGTGGCATTCCATTTAAAGAGAAGCATTATCGGTTCACAACTGTGCCCTGTAACTAGCTGTAAAAGTTTTGAATTCTGACAATTTCCTCCCTATTGTTTTTGGAGCAGAAATAGGAAAATCACTCTGCAGATAACCCAAAATTGAATTTAATCAACTTTTAAAGAGAAGATGATTGATATCTTATACATTATTGATCAGACGATGCTTTAAGGGTAAATGGGACATTACACTATACATGACAATTACAATTACAATTACAATTACAATTACATCTACAGTTTCTTTAACCTTGGGGGGGGGGGGGTTTGACGTTCGCCTCCCCTGTCTATTTGTGTTGCCTAGCATTTTTGACACTACCTTGCAGTACGCTGTTCTTGGGAAATGTCCTCTTTTGCTATGATGACGTCATATTTGTCAGACAGTTGTCCCTTTTTTGAAAAGCGTACTGCAAATCGACGGACAAATATCTCGGCAGGTCTTGACATAGCTTATATATTTTTTTTAATTAAAGCTAAAAAATATTTTTTAAAAGAAAAATAAATGTGCTGTCACAGCTTAATATTTGTCAAAAACAAAAAAGTTCATTTTTCACATTTTTCCGACCTTTGGCATTTTTTTCAAACATCTCTTGCACCTAAACTATTTTGTTAACGGTCTACTTTTTGTTTTCAATGAGCTGGTCTTAAAAATTTGGGCTATGCACAATGTTCATACATTGCAAACCTATATCTTTTTCTTTTTCAGGCTATACAAAAATTCTGACCCCCCCCCCTCACACCAACCTATATAGGGTTAAAAGTCAGAGAAAGAAAGATAGATATTGACAACCAACTTTAAGATTTTTTTTCCGTTCGTCAACAGAATTTTCCGTTTATTTTCCTTTACTAACGTCCTTTAACGGAACTTTGTCTAGCATTCCGTAAATATGTGTACGAGAACCGAATTTAATTTATCAGAGTTAGGTTGCTTAACTGCATGCCCCTAGTTCAAATCTTGAATCACCGATTTAAAGTTAAAGACTTGTGATGATTTGAATCGGTGATGTGGGATCTTATCCAGCACCGGGACTATAGGAAAGTAAAATATTCTGACATTCATTTCATGCTTAGAATCAAACTATATATTTTTAAGAAATGGCCTCCGGAATAATTTTGATCTGTGTATATTTATCCTTCTGAATGGATATTCAGTAGCAAGACGAATTCAAGGTCGTCTTTGATTCTTGAAATAATTTGTGGCAGTTATTCGAAAACCTAATTTTATAAGTAAAATACTAGAGTTAATAATCACAAAATTGCATTTGCTAACCCTATACCTTTGCAACCTGATGGTGTAAACCTTTCATATTTCAAACTTAGACTTTTTGATCTAACAGAATTAAAAGCTAATAATATCAAAGGTTTAGGAAAACGGGTTGCAAAGTTATTGGAATTAGAAAATCAGAGTTTGTGGTAAAAACTCAATTCCTTTGGTTTATTTAATAAAATTGAAATCTGAACAAAATTCTTAATATCTCCGGTAATATGTACAGCACAAAAAAGGCACATTTTGGAAATGCCAGGATAATTTTGCTGTTGTTTCAAGAATCATAAATGTTAAAGTAGGTTAACAACTGAATTTCACAAATAAATTCAAAGTTCAAAGACAACTTTCAATTTGTCTTGTAACTGTCATGTTTAGTGAGACATCAATTGTATTTTGCACACTTCCGGAGAAAATTAACATATTTTTTTATTCGTTAAAATTAATTTGTTAAAATTCATGAAAAAACACTTAGAAAGAAACGTTGAGAAAGTAAAATCTATTTGAAAAATCTATTTTGATGTCCACAAACATAAGAAATTTGTTATCTTAAAAGGATATAGAAAATTACATTATGATCTTTGAAGTTTTTGTAATATAAAGTAAAATATAAATTGATTTTTATTCAGCACTGTTACATTTCTATTAAATAATTTTTTCTTAGATTTACATACAGTAGAGTTTTCATAAATGTATTCTTTGTTTAAAAAATCAAGTAAAGTGGGTTTTTACAAATAATGATTGATTCATTAAAATTTTGCAAGTACAATGTACATTGTACAATGTACATATATGATAGATTATATCAAACTTTGTTTGATACAAAATAATTTATAGTTTGAAATATTAAATGTCCTCCAAATCAGGTTGCAAAGATAAAAGAAGTTCAAAATCAAAATTTACTAAAAGTAATCAGTAGATGAGTCATTTAACTATCTCTGTTATTTACAGCTAAAATATTTGCTTTCTAGCTTCACTTTTTGGCAAAAAAGCATTTCCTTAGGATGTATTGCGGCTGATTGGAAATTTCGACCTCGACATTTTCTATAGTAGGTTCTTTTTTGGGAATCAAACCCTCTGTTTCCATTTTTGAAGAAAGTTCGACAAACTTTTAAGCCACCTTTTCACATTCAAAACATTTTATTGTCACAAGATAATTACGAATTTTTTTCACGCGTTCACACCAAACATGAAATTCATCAAACAATAAAAACTTGCAAACTATGCGCTAATCATAAAAGCTGCCGTGTTGGTGTGTTGGTATATTGAAGGGTTGACGGAGAATAAAGAGAGGTAAGGAGGAGGACGACGCTTCTCAGATTCTCCTGGAGGGAGAGGGGTTACCTCAAGAGAAGTAAGATTATTCCAAGAACCAGAGTTTGGAGGCAACTTTTGTTATTAATATCAATTTAGAACTTTTTATCTGATAATACGTTTCAATCATATTCTTGAGACTTTACAGCTGTTCTGTTAGTGCTAATCTATTTGTACAGAATACAGTAATGCAACAAATATGTATCAAAACAAATTCTGGGAACGTAAATGTCAGATTTAAGCAACATTTGTAGCTATCTTAGTTTTAATCCAGCTCTCAGGTATACTTATGAGAAAAGACCATTTATTTGTCATTTATTTTTTAGCAATTTAAAATTTCTTTTTTCTTTTCAATAGCTCCTCAGTAAGAGAAATTATAATTCTAAAAATGTAAAATATCTAAAATCTGTAATCTATTGTTAAATAATTTGATTTGTGTTATTAGATTTTGTTTATTCTAAAATCAGAAATTTAATTTTAGGCGTACTTATTTGTCTTTGAATTTCTATTTTATGTAAAGGATTTAAAGTCAAATTACAAATTACACCCATCTTTTATTTTGTTTACAACCCCCTAGCTCCTGCTTTCCTATATTATGCCAATTAAGATCAGTAAATCTAGTCAAATAGTCATGAATCAAGATTTCTCCTTTTCCACCTAATTTGTAAACATGACATTTCAGTAGGAGTTTTAAATAGCAAAAAAGTACTAACATGATAACATCTCCAAACTTTGACTTTAATATGATATTGACCCTAAATCCTTTATTTTGGTTTAGGGCATCGTTTTTAGCATTCTTTTTTAATAATTTGAATTTCATCATACCCCTTAAAAATATAATCTTTTGGTCATTTTCAAAGTTTGTATACCTAATTTGTGTATGTATTAATGTAATTGTTTGTTATTTTTGTAATTAATATTAATTAGGGGTGTTAAAGCATAACAGTTGGCATGCAACTTAGCATTTTATCACAATTATTAGTATTATAAATGGTAAATTGTTATACAGTGTAAGAAACATTAAAAAATGTAAGTATTTTTAATGACTAATTTCTGACAGATAATTTTCTTATCTGACGTTAGGAAAAAAATTTTGTGTGGTTTTCTCACTAAATTAAAAATTAGATGTCTAATTGTAACAGTTCTATAATTTCCTTTCTTTTCTTTTTTCAACTAACTACATCTTAAAACTACTAATCGTAATATAATCTTCCCAGTACTATCAAGAAAATTATCAGTAATTTTTTATATTTTTTTAATGCTCTCATCAATCTTTATTTTAGAATCTTACTTGCAACTTGATAAATAGATGATCTTCGTATTCTTGAATCAGATTTTGCGTGTAGTTCTGCCATATACATCCTCCTTCTGATAGGCTGATATTTTAGCAAAACCATCATCATTTTCATTAGCAATATCAGCATTCATGATTAAAGAAACAACATCATTCTTTCATCTATCTATATACTTTGCTTATTTGTTTACCTGTTTGTTTGTTTGTTTGTTTAAATTTTGAAAATCCACGAAATCTTTTTATAAAAACCGCAAAAAAAAAATTCGTTTTTATTTTATATACATATACAAAGAAAAAAAGTTCACAATTGAAATAGAAGATGAACTTGAAACGCCCTAAACGCCTATTTTTTCTAAATTTTCAATTTGTATTTCTCAAATCGGGTTTTTTTTTAAATCGTTTATTAAATGCTATGATATCTCCCACAATATTGATCATATAAAGACAGACAGAGAATCTAAATTTATTTATAGATTACTAAAATTGCCATATTATTTATATCCGAGGTGACTAATTGACCATATGATTTTCCATCTTCATCTCAACAATATTCGACTATTTAGAAACTTTTTGATATGGCCATATGCGATATTTATATTTAAATTTGGCTTGTCTGTCTGTTTGTGTGTTTGTATCCAATAAACGTCAAAACGGCTGAACTGATCGGGTCCAAATTTGTTGTGGGACATCGCTTGACCACAGGGAAGGTTTATGAATGATAAAAATAAAAAAATAAACTTTCTTCTTTGTTTTAAAATGTAAACAAAAAGAACATGTTCACAATTTAAATAGAAGATGGGCGCGAAGCGCCCTAAATATAATATATGTCGCTGCGTTTTCATTTTAAAAGATATTTAAAATCGTCCATACGGTAGCGAATAGACGATTTAATATCGAAGAAATAACCGAAAGGCCCCCCCCCCAAAAAATTATTTTTGAAAAATTTAATGTTACACATAATTTGTTTACATTAAATTTCTGAAACAAGTCTCAAATCAATTAGCCATATATCATTCTTACATCATCACTAAATTAATAGAATAACAATTCATCACCCTGAATCCTTGTATTCTTGGGAAGGCCTGTATACCTGTCCTAAGACCAGATTTAATGAATAACGAATCAACTAGTTAAACAATGTTGAACCGATTCTCCGCTCAAAATTACGAAATAAAAAAATCACTTAATGTTTTTGTTGTCAAATAAGCGATGTATGTTAAATATACGCGAATTCTTAATTTAGAGTGTCTTATGTGGCAGTTCAAGCTAAGAAGAAGTGGTTTATTCACGTCTCGCTATTCATAAACATGGTCCCTGGATTGGTTTGATTGGGACGATTTGTATCATAAGGATAGGGAGGAAGTGGATGCATCGGTTCCTCCTCAGCAATTGATCCCATCTCTATAGTTTTTTAGATTTTCAGAATTTTTTTACTCTTTAAATTGTATTTGTAAAACGGATTGTTTGATTTAAAAAGTTCCAAGTTTTCGATCAGACATAAGCTTCAATTAGGACTTCGTTGTTCAATCAATAAAAGAAAATTATGACAAAATTTCATGAAAATATCGATCGTTAAATATGAAGTTAAGTTAAGTTCCGATTATATCAATTTACTTAAGGGAATTTCAGTGTAAACATTCTCGTGTTACCCTAACCTTAAGTTGCATTCTAAACTTAAAATCTAAATATTAAAAAAGCTTTTGAAATTAAACCTTTTATGAAAAATCTTTATTTGTTTATTTCCAGTAATATGTTTTTACGTTGTGTAAATGCTGATTTCAAAAATATGTTTCAAAGGATTTGAGTCTTTGCCACAAACTCTGATATTCTAATTTCTTTATCTTTGCAACCCAATGTCGTAAACCTTTGATATTTTAAACTATTGATTGCGTTAGATCAAATGATCATAGTTTGAAATATTAAAGGTTTAGGACATTGGGTTGCAAAGATATAGGTAGTAGAAGTTTTGAGTTTGTGACAAAGACTCAATTCCTTTCACGAGAGAGTTTTAACAGGTCTTGTCCCTATGAAACACACTTTGTCACTTTCATGTACAAAACGGTACCGTGTTTTTTATCCTTCATTCATCATTCATCCTTCATTCATCCTTCATTCATCCTTCATTCATCCTTCATTCATCCTTCATTAATCCTTCATTCATCCGGTACCGTTTTGTACATGTATGTGAGAAAGGAGAATGAAACGCGAAAATGAAACGTATTTTCACCAATATTTTTACCAAAGAATTGCAGAAAAAAATCTAATTTGACCTAGTTTCGTGCTAAGATATGGGGGGGGGGGAGGCGACCCACATCCGCTTTACCTCGGACCCACAAATGACGTCACAAAATGGTATTTTCGGCATGTGCACTTCGCCTGTACCCGTCTGTACTTTTGTATGTTAATTATAGACGAATGCTGCATTAATTTAGACAATCGCTGACGATAATCTTTTCAATATAAGTTTCGGAACACTACGAAAAATTATCAATTTGAATAAAATGTCAAGTTTTTTTTAATTGTTCCTTAACAGAAAATTAGTTCATAAAGCAAGATCCATTAAACTGTTGGATAGGAAGCTCGGCAACATTTTAATAATCTTATGTGAATTTGATGGTGTTATAATGCAAAAGTTTTTTTCCCGTACCCTGAAAGAGTTGAATTTAGAATTGTGGATTTTGTGATAAATTATTTTGTTTGTATCCAGAGAAGTGTCAAATTTCTACCAATAGTGTGGCGTATACAGAATATCAAACAGTCTTTGACCATTAACCCTGTATACAAGTATATCTCATGAAAAGATTTTTAACATTTTTAGGCCATTTCTTAGCAATTATACAACGTATAAGCATACCACTGGTATTTAATGAATTCTAATATTTTTTCGAAAATTCTGCACTCTTAGCTCAAATACCCTGTAGGTTCCTCAAAATATTTTTCATTTAAATTTTTAGTAAAAGATTTGAGTCTATGCCACAAACTCTGATTTTCTAATCTTTATACCTTTGCAACCCAATGTAGTAAACCTTAGACATTTCAAACTTTGAATTCTAATAGATCAAATAGTTTAAGTTTTAAATATCAAAGGTTTAAACCATCAGGTTGCAAAGATATAAGAAGTTCAAAATCAAAATTTACTAAAAGTAATCAGTAGATGGGTCATTTAACTATCTCTGTTATTTACAGCTAAAATATTTGCTTTCTAGCTTCACTTTTTGGCAAAAAAGCATTTCCTGAGGATGTATTGCGGCTGATTGGAAATTTCGACCTCGACATTTTCTATAGTAGGTTCTTTTTTGGGAATCAAACCCTCTGTTTCCATTTTTGAAGAAAGTTCGACAAACTTTTAAGCCACCTTTTCACATTCAAAACATTTTATTGTCACAAGATAATTACGAATTTTTTTCACGCGTTCACACCAAACATGAAATTCATCAAACAATAAAAACTTGCAAACTATGCGCTAATCATAAAAGCTGCCGTGTTGGTGTGTTGGTATATTGAAGGGTTGACGGAGAATAAAGAGAGGTAAGGAGGAGGACGACGCTTCTCAGATTCTCCTGGAGGGAGAGGGGTTACCTCAAGAGAAGTAAGATTATTCCAAGAACCAGAGTTTGGAGGCAACTTTTGTTATTAATATCAATTTAGAACTTTTTATCTGATAATACGTTTCAATCATATTCTTGAGACTTTACAGCTGTTCTGTTAGTGCTAATCTATTTGTACAGAATACAGTAATGCAACAAATATGTATCAAAACAAATTCTGGGAACGTAAATGTCAGATTTAAGCAACATTTGTAGCTATCTTAGTTTTAATCCAGCTCTCAGGTATACTTATGAGAAAAGACCATTTATTTGTCATTTATTTTTTAGCAATTTAAAATTTCTTTTTTCTTTTCAATAGCTCCTCAGTAAGAGAAATTATAATTCTAAAAATGTAAAATATCTAAAATCTGTAATCTATTGTTAAATAATTTGATTTGTGTTATTAGATTTTGTTTATTCTAAAATCAGAAATTTAATTTTAGGCGTACTTATTTGTCTTTGAATTTCTATTTTATGTAAAGGATTTAAAGTCAAATTACAAATTACACCCATCTTTTATTTTGTTTACAACCCCCTAGCTCCTGCTTTCCTATATTATGCCAATTAAGATCAGTAAATCTAGTCAAATAGTCATGAATCAAGATTTCTCCTTTTCCACCTAATTTGTAAACATGACATTTCAGTAGGAGTTTTAAATAGCAAAAAAGTACTAACATGATAACATCTCCAAACTTTGACTTTAATATGATATTGACCCTAAATCCTTTATTTTGGTTTAGGGCATCGTTTTTAGCATTCTTTTTTAATAATTTGAATTTCATCATACCCCTTAAAAATATAATCTTTTGGTCATTTTCAAAGTTTGTATACCTAATTTGTGTATGTATTAATGTAATTGTTTGTTATTTTTGTAATTAATATTAATTAGGGGTGTTAAAGCATAACAGTTGGCATGCAACTTAGCATTTTATCACAATTATTAGTATTATAAATGGTAAATTGTTATACAGTGTAAGAAACATTAAAAAATGTAAGTATTTTTAATGACTAATTTCTGACAGATAATTTTCTTATCTGACGTTAGGAAAAAAATTTTGTGTGGTTTTCTCACTAAATTAAAAATTAGATGTCTAATTGTAACAGTTCTATAATTTCCTTTCTTTTCTTTTTTCAACTAACTACATCTTAAAACTACTAATCGTAATATAATCTTCCCAGTACTATCAAGAAAATTATCAGTAATTTTTTATATTTTTTTAATGCTCTCATCAATCTTTATTTTAGAATCTTACTTGCAACTTGATAAATAGATGATCTTCGTATTCTTGAATCAGATTTTGCGTGTAGTTCTGCCATATACATCCTCCTTCTGATAGGCTGATATTTTAGCAAAACCATCATCATTTTCATTAGCAATATCAGCATTCATGATTAAAGAAACAACATCATTCTTTCATCTATCTATATACTTTGCTTATTTGTTTACCTGTTTGTTTGTTTGTTTGTTTAAATTTTGAAAATCCACGAAATCTTTTTATAAAAACCGCAAAAAAAAAATTCGTTTTTATTTTATATACATATACAAAGAAAAAAAGTTCACAATTGAAATAGAAGATGAACTTGAAACGCCCTAAACGCCTATTTTTTCTAAATTTTCAATTTGTATTTCTCAAATCGGGTTTTTTTTTAAATCGTTTATTAAATGCTATGATATCTCCCACAATATTGATCATATAAAGACAGACAGAGAATCTAAATTTATTTATAGATTACTAAAATTGCCATATTATTTATATCCGAGGTGACTAATTGACCATATGATTTTCCATCTTCATCTCAACAATATTCGACTATTTAGA